AGGAATATAAAAAGAGAAGTGTAATCATCTGAAACTCAAAGCCATCACAATACCTTGAAACAGTGATATCAGAGATACTAACTGATAGTATCAACATAGACAATAGCAGCCAATCACTTCAATATAAGAACTATAAAGGTTCAAACACGTCTTCAGGTGACAAAGTGAGACGGCTGAATTGAATCATTAAATTGCTGTAATTCGATACACCCCTAGATAACGTCGCAAAGTTCCTGGAGCCATTGAGAGTTTCTTGTGAAGAAAAGCAAAAATATTAATCGTTTAGACCTCGATCTACCTTACTCTGACGCCGGGGTGCTATTTGCAGCACCCTTCTTCTCATGAAGGTTGTGGAACTCTACCGCACTGGATTGCTCTACCGCCAGTCAGAAATACCTTAATGCCCCATTGCACGGTCATGTCTTAAGCGTGATTACCACCATAGCATACAAAGAGTTATTTCCTCTCCACAAAGTGATACTCATATATCTATATGGGAAGGAAGAAACGCAAAACAACTTATCGAGGATAGAATCCAAAAATCAATCGATTCGGAGTTCTACGTTACATCCGTTCAGCAATCACTATGCAGCCAAGGGAACCCTTCTTGAGTTCGTGAAACAGAACACGAAGAATCAGCAGGCAGAGAAAATGCTAAACTCACCGCAATAAAAAAATTCGATGACAAAATCCAAAGACCTGTATGAGAAGGGCATGCCCATTCTGATGAAAGATTAACCAAACATGGAGCGGATCAGCTACCGCGGCATAGCATGAAATAACCATCGGCGCTGCACGAAACTCTTTCAAGGAAAGCATCAGACTGCCAAACACATAATCATCACCGGAACTTTAAATCAAGATATCCATAACCAGTATGCCCGATTGCTGGTAATCTGGCGCATTCCAAGGTTCTGGGATACTGTCAAGATACTGAAAAAGAAGCAGTATGGGAGAGACAACGGTCATACAGCCACTTCATGGTTCGGTTCGACCTCGGCAAGTTCGAATCTTAGAGAAAACTTAACAATGTCATACGAGAGTCTCATCTTGAGGCGACAGCGACTTGCCTCTTTGAAGAAAAACGGCGGAAAATGTCACCCCTGCCTTGCGGTCTGACAGCGTCTGAATGACTAGAAGAGAAAATTTCGATTAAAAGACTGAAGGACGTGGGTCACCTGGCCTATAAGAAATTCCCCAGGCCACTGTAAGCCTTGTTCGCCGATCGCGAAACTTCAACTGTTATAACATGACAAATAAGTACGTCGCAGTACATTGCGTGTCAGTCGACGGTTTTAAGGGACCGGTTAGATATTCGAATGACGATACGGTGCTAAGATTCTTAAGTGAAAGGCCGATCTGATAAACGGATCTGGAGTTCCCCCGAGATTTGCACCTACTACTGTAGAAGAAAGGCGACGGAACCAATGTTTAACTAACTGAATGGAGACCAGAAAGATAACTGAAGGCTTGCAACATCCGGCGTTAGCAGATGAATGAGGTTAGGAAAGACGGAAGATCCATCAGGCCAGAAAAATGAGACTATGCGAATAAGATAGGATAAAAGGGATTTGTGATAAGCAAAATCTGCTACCCAAAAATCGTATCCTGCAACGAGACGTCACCAAGATTGAACGCACTGTACGTCGAGGTAAACAAGAAGACCATCTTGAAGACCATCCAAGCCTATAATCCCACATATATAGCCGACTAGGAGCAAGCGGAAAACAAAGTTGAAACAAAAAGTAGAACGTGCATTATTCCCAAATTCCACGTATACCCTCGTCATGAGCACACCAATGGCAAAGTCGTACTACGAAGGGTAGGTGAATAATCTGTCTGAAGGTACGGCACCGATAACCAAAATGAGCGAGTTATTCAGACGGTCACTACGATAGAATGAAAGCCTTTAACACTGCCAACAGATGGTTCAAGCACACGAATAACATGTGGAGTTAGATCGTGTCGAACAGGGCGATAAAAAATGATAGGCATGTGATCCTGCTCAATAGACGACGTATCAAATGGGACATAGCAGTAATGCCATCTTTTAAAACCTTCGGTGACAAAAGAGTGCACGAACAATCAAGGAGAAAATCGAGGAAGGCACTGGAGCTGGCAAATAGCAGACAGTGGTCGAAATTGGTAAATAAAGCGTTCCTCCTATCATGAATTTGAACGGCAAACAATATGCTCAAAGGACCATTCAAAGCAAAGTGTTTGGATCAAAGATATGTCCTTCCTCCAACGACACTTCGAGAGAGAAAAGGACGTGCAATTTCGGTCATCAAAAACACCACTAACTAGCGAAGGAAGAAATTCAGGGCAACATAGAGACGGTCTGAAAAGATAAATGATCATAGCAGGAGGCTAGACACTGTGAAAGGCATGAGCGGATAGTTTCAGATGGTACCTGAAAAGGAAAGGTTTCAAGAAACGATCCTTCTATTCGTGAAGGGCCAGAAAAAAGATCTTAATCTCAATGTGCTTGCTTTGACAACTCTGGACTCACAACAGCGAACAGAAAAGGTGGTACTCTAAAGGAGAAAGAGAACAACGGAAAATATATCTGGCTTAAGTCAATTCCTCTAAGGGAATCGTAGTGCGCTCTGTGCATAGCCCTCATTAACTGCGAGAAAGAGTTAGACGATTTCGAGTACAAATGTGTGGAATGCGTTGCCAGAACTCTTAATCGGCATCCGTTACATCAAAATGCTAATGGTCGAAAACTGACAACTTAACAAAAGTCACTGTTTGACACCTCCTCCGGAATCCGTAACAGAGAACATGTATAAGGAGATACATCTGATGGAAACACTACAATGCTTCTTTAGAAATGGAGCGCCGGAATAAGAGAGTCAAAACGGCGAGATTAGCATCAATACGGAACAGCTCACATAGGAAATGTCCGTTGATGAAGTGGCATGTCTGCGGAAAGAAGACATACTGCAGGAACGCGAGCAAAGCAGTACAGAAGCTGGACTGGAAATCAATCGGTCAAACACGGATGCTCCAAAGTTCTAGGTACGATTTAACAGCAAAAATATCCAGGAAGCCGATAAATACATTTAACTGGGTCAGGAAGCCGATAATACATTTAACACGCGGCAAGATCAGGTTGCAGGGATTTAACGAAAAAAGACAGCCAGCTGGCCGCGTTAGATTCCATTAAAGATGTTCTCACCAGCAACGTCTGAAAGAAATTCTCTTCAGTTCTACGGTCCTACCGGAAATGTTTCATGGACGCTACATGTGGTCATTCACTAAATCCAAAGGACTTCAGTTGTCTGTCACGGTGATGATACATGGTGGTACAATGATGTAAATCAAACATAACATCCACCTTCCTAACACGGAGATCAGACAGAGTAAAAGTA